GTCAGGTGCTATGATTTTCTCTCTTCAACCAAGTGAGTTAGCTCTCCTGCTTCTGTTAGCTCCCAGTTAAGCCATCAAATTGTGCGCTCATCACTGCATTAATTCACAGATGAAGTTATAGCCCTTATGAGCCAGTTTCCTCAAAGCCCAACAGCAACCAAGCCCGCAACACAATGAGTCTTTCTGAAGGAAATATCATATCCAAACCATAGCCATTATCTTTCCATAATACAATATTTTTGTAATGTTATATTGTGCCTTTTCGTGTATTAACAATCTTCCAGAGCCAGGTATGATGGCCCCGCCTATAATCCCAGCACTTGGGAGACTGAGGCAGGAAGATTGCCAGCTTGCTGTGAGTTCAAGGCCAGCCTGCATTATGACCCTATCTCAATAAAAAAAAAAAACAATCTTCCAAGTACATTTTATGGATATCATAAGTATAGAAGCTTATTTTAAAATTAAAATGAAAAACAGTAATAAAACTTCCCTGATAAACTATATTCATTATACAAAGTCCTCAGATGAAATCCTAAAAGTAAGTCTTGCATTACTTAACAGCTATTACATATGCTGTTTCATTTGAGATCAGTACTGTCACTTGGAAAAATGACCTGTTGCCTAAAAATCAATTTTTGAGAATCTCTGTAGTGTTTGTTACAATGTTTACATTGTGTGAAAATCAAACTGAAGTTGAATATTTATTCAAAGATAATTGACTTCATTTAGTACTGTAGAAAAAGATAAAACCTCATAACTATGAAATAATGGCACAAACATCCAATATGTTCTGAAAGACCCAACTTCCTTTATTCATTGAGTTAACTGCAACAGATAAAATTCTAAAAGTCTCTGCTACAAAACTCAGGTACATTAAATTTAACGGCAAAAGAATCAATGAACCTTGATAATTTTCCCCCAGACTGCATGGGAGGTGGTTGACCAGATGTTCAGAGGGCTGGAGTGATGGCAGTTCTAACTCTGTATCCTTATGCTAAACCTGTTATAGACACTGCTGAGGGAGGACCCAGGCCTACTGCAAAGATACAGGTAAAGCTAGAGCAACCTGCAGCCCTGGACTTCTTGTAGTTGCAAAACACAACCCAGCAGGCTCTCAGCTGTCTGTACATTCCCCCAAATATTAGCCTCCAGGTCAATAGCTCGGGATGGGACCTCCAGTTACAAAGTGGGAAACAGAAGTTACTTACCCTCACTTCCTCTCATGGGAGAACTTCCGGGTGTACTGTGTGGGACTCTGCAGATTGTGCCCAGCATGGTTCCAGAGTGTTATTCTTTTTGTCTTGGATGCAAACAGAAACCTCTGGAACTGCCTGTGAGGCAGTCCTAGTGCATGGCCTGCCCTGGTTGTGCTGACATCTCCTTTCTTAGTGCTGAAGAGGCTGTGTCCTAGACTGGATGTCTCATGTGCAGCATCTGTGTGTTCCTCTGTCCTCCTGCTAGGATGGGAGGGAGTTTTTTCAAACTCCATTCTCTGGTCTGAAAGTTGGTATTGGAGCTTCTCTAAAGCTATTAGTCTGAAGCTCTCTTATGGCACCTGCCATCTTATGCCCCATCAGAGTTATATATTATCTTTTACCAAGAAACAAACTCCCTGATTTCTACTGCTGCTGTAATAAGCTACCACATTTAGTAGCTTAAAATACAAATTGATTATCTTACAAGTGCAGAGGTTAGGAGTCTAAAATAGGTTTCACTACACTAAAATCAAAGTGCTTGCAAGGATGCTATCCTTCTGTAAGTTCTGGGGGTGAATCTATTTTTTTTTTCTTTTTTTCTAGCTCTTCAAGGCTACTTGCATGCCGTGGCTTGTGGCCCTAGCCAGCATCATGTCTAACTTCTGCTTTCCTTGTCACATCTTCTCTGATTCCGACTTTCTTGTTTCCCTACTACAAAAGCCTTGTGATTATATCTAGAATCCATTCAGATAACCCAGGATAATCTCTGCATCTCAAAATTCCAAATGTAATTATATCTGTCAAGTCCCCTTCAACAACTAAAGCATCATATTCACACATTCTGGGAATTAGAACACACACACCCTTGGAGGGTCATTTTTCTGCCTACAGTATTCCCTAAAGGCCATTCTGTCATTTAGTCTTACTTATTTATTTATCTATTTTTGGTACCAGAGATCAAACTCACAACCTTGCTCTTACCAGGCAGCAGGTGCTTGAGCCATTGAGCTAAATCACTGGCCACCCATGTTTGGGCACCTATAATTTGTAGGTTGCTGTACTAAGTGCTAGGAACACAGAGGTCAGTAACACAGCAGCAGTGGTAAAGGGGTCCAGAAACAAAGGATGTGAGTGTTTTTGTTTTGCTTTGTCTTACATCTATAATGCAATCTTATTTTTTTTTAAAAGGCCAGGAACTTTCAAATCAAAATGTGGACTTTTGGCTTCCCTAGGAAAATTAGATTGTCATCCTCATAGCATAGCAGCTATGCATGAGTCGTGGATGCTTCAATCTCAAGGTCTCCACCTCTGTGTCACTCCTGCCACACTGGCTGCTGTGTGGCTCCCTATGACTCACTGACTCCTGAAAGCATTTGGATTTGAACACTACAGCTCTGAGGCACAAAGGGTAAGGTGGCTGCTGATACATTTACTGAGGCAACAGAAGAAGACTATTTGGACTTCTCAAATTGTTGTCATCTAAAAACAATAGTGAGGACTTGACATTTTTTGGTCTCTAATTTATAGCCCAATTTGCATCTATCTTGATTGGCATTTGCACATGTACCACCTACTCAGTGCACAAGTCCTCACAGGTAGAAGAAGGTTATTGTGGTTCTCTTTCTCCCACCCCAATTCAGTAACACACCACATGCAGATTTGCCTGGCCCAACTACATTATCTCACTACAATTAAGCAAGTTCTCACCAACAGGATAAGGTATGCTATGGTCTGGTTTGTTGGAGGCTGGTTTCCAGTGTGGCAATGTTAAGTGGTAACATAGGGTCTTTAATAGGTGGGTCTAAAAGGAGATCATCAGGTTGTTTTTGATGACAGGAACCAGTTCCACGGGAGACATTTTTTCCATAAACAGGGTTGGGGGATGCTTTCAGGATCAGAGTCTCATAAGGAGCACACAACTTAGATGCCTTGCGTGTGCAATTCAAGCAGACTTCATGCTCCTATGAGGATCTAATACTACCACTCTCTGACGGGAAGTGGAGCTCAGGCTGTAACAGGATGGGGAGCAGCTATAAATACAGATAAAGCTTCACTTGCTCCACACAGCTCATCTCCTGCTGTGTGGCCTGGTTCCTAACAGGTCAGTAACTCATGTAGGTCTATGGCCAGGCAGTGAAGTACCCGGGGTTTAGGATATAGCCCCCAGAAGAGATTAAGGTAGTTCTCTGGGGAAAACAAGATCAGCCCCTCCTCAGTCTCTGGTTTTTTCTCTCAGCATTTGCCCACTCTCCCACAAGCTCCTGCCATGATGCCAATTGTCATGAAGTTTTCACCAAAGCCGGAACAGTGGTGTTTGGACTTTTGGTCTCCAAAACCACAAGCTAAACTTCTTTTCTTTAAAAAAAAAAAATACCCAAGCCCCAAATATTTTGTTATAGCAAACAGACTAATACAAGGTATTTTAAAAGGTACAGGGTACTGCAAAAAAAAATTAGTAAATATACATACAAACACTGTAAAGAACAATAGTTCAAAGGAATGTGGAGTGCTGGCATACCTTTTCCTGGACAAGTTCCTCAGCCTTGTACAAGGCAAAAGAAGTAACATTCTAATGAAACCTGACAAGAAGATAGTCAAAACTAGAAATTAACATGCTATTGATAATGCAGACCTAGTACTTTGTGTATAGTATCTTGAGAAATTGGCTGGGGACAACAGTACTGATTTACAAACAGAAATACACCAGAGTATATGATAGAGATATTTTTATTGAGATAATATCTTTTTTGCTAGACAAAGGTAGCTTCACTGTAACACTTGCCAAGCTGAGGTTATATCAACCTAGGTCCTTCAGGGACTAAGAGGAAAGCAGATCTAAGCCTTAGAAAATTAGATTCTTCAAGCCAATACCCAGGATCACTCAAGATAAAGGAAGAAAACCAAAGTCAGATCACAGACTAGCAGTCTACTCAAAAAAATATTTCTCCAGCAACTTGAGACTATCCTCATAAGTGAAATAAATCAGACTCCATTTGTAAATATCATATTGTCTCTCTAGTATAAAAAATAATAAAAAACTGAAAGAGTAATAAGATCCAAAATGTACAATATATATTGTAATAATGAAAGGGAAAATCTCTAAAGGATATAGCTGTATGTATAAGGGTGCAACACAGATAACCACACTGCTAAGTTTTTTTAGTTCATCACACAAAACAGTTTGCACTGTCATTGTTTGATTGTCCTCTTTTTATGCTTTGATTTTGTAACTTGAACAACTACTTCTGGGATAACCATGTGTAATTTATCAACTAGTGATTTCTTACTGGTTTTTTTGAAATTCTGTATTATTTCTACCCTTTTTTCTGTTTTGCTTTTTTCCTTTAAATAAAAAAAAGGAAGAAAATATTTCTCCAAACACTCAAAGTAGAATTTTCATGAGACTTTTATATACAATGTTTGCCATGCAGTCAGAGCCAACGGTGAAGAACACATGTGTTAAAGAATATGAAGTGGAATTCTTTACTCAGCTCTTAATTCACATTCTTTAACCCTAATGGATTACCCAAGCTAAATGCACAGAAACAGAGGAATACAGGAGAATGAGTAGGAAATGGCAGAAGTGAATGTTTATTGAATATGCGCCGGTTGCTAGATGGTCTTGTGTTGTATTTATTCAAGATTCTCTGAAAACACTATTGGCATCTCAGTTTTAAAAAGGGCAAAAAATCACGAGTCACGTAATTAAAGGAACTCGCCCAAAGTCACTCTGAGAATACAACATAGCACTGGGACTGATACCCTGGTACATCTGACTCTACCCTACCCTCTTCCACCACCCACCTGGCTTCCCTGCTCTCATGTCCACCACAGGATCTGTCCCCAGCCCATCCACTGCCCTTGCAGTCTCTCTGGTCTGCATCTCACACCTTCCTCCCCAAGGCCACAGTCACACATGAGGCCTCAAAGTCCTCGTCCACTCTGTTCTGAGAACCTGACAGAAAAAGAGGCAAAGGCCACGCAGAGGAAGACCCAGGCAGAAAGGAGGGAGATGAAGAAGGTGCAGAGACCGGGACAGAGTCAGTCCCCTCCACAACCCAACAAAGAGGAGGGTCAGGAGTCTCCCCCCAGGGGTGGGGGCGTCGCTGGAGCAATTCTCTCAAGCAGTGAAACCTAACCGAGCAAGAGTAGGCAGTGATGACACTATTTGGCTACGCCTAAAATGAAATAAGAAAGTCTTCAAAACTTGGTCTACATACTGCAGAGATACAAGGCCTTTTATTTAGAATGTGTTCTCTAAAAATATATGTTCTATTTCATAGATGAATTCAATGTCAAAGTCATGGAGGGCAGGAAGGCGCAAATACCAAGCTTAATCATGTAAAAAGTTTAAGTAGTTCTTAAAAGGAATCTCTAGAGTCTGAAAACCACCATAGACATGTAAAGCATTTCTACCTTATTGAGTCCAGAAATATTGAACTCCTTTGTGGAGGGATTTAGAGGACACCAAGCTGTAACGAAACAATTTCAGCGATGAGTTTAAAGCCCCCAACACTGGGATCACGTGAAGCTGAGTAGGGCCAGCCCCAGCTAAATTGGGGTAGAGCTAAGATAAGCGAGGAAGACAGCAGGAATCACTCATCCCGCTCATGGGAGCACAAGCAGCAGGCAGCTTGCAACTCCAGGTCCTCCACTGACCTCACAAGGCTGAAGGCCAGGCCGGGACTCGGATCCCACTGAACCGCCGAGACCCTAAGTGCCCGGCAGCGCGGGGCAGGCAGTTGCACGTTTTCAGCTGCGGCGTCGAAGCCACAGCGCAAGGCCAAGCGTTCTCCTCCCCCGGCCGCCCGGCCTGGGAACGCCGGCCTGGGAGTCCTCCACGTCGCGGTCGCCGCGACGGAGGCCCGCGCATCGGGCCCCAGAGTCCACCGAGCCCATAAGCCGGCTCCCCGCGCCCGCGAGCCGCTCGCCCACCATCTCCAGGCGCCCAGCAGGCGGGGAAGGAGGAGAAGGGGTGCAGACCTCCAAGCGCCCCGCAGAGCCCCAGACAGGCGGCGAGCAGGACCGGGCGACAGGTCCCGGGCACCCGCATCCCTTCGCGGTGGCCCCAGGTGGCAGCGGAGCTCCCTGCGTCGGCGTCTTCCCTCCAGCCGCCCGGGACCCTGGCCTGGAAGGGGCGCCGCCCCTAATGCACGGGCTGGACCTGCGCGGAGAGCCGCCCGCAACCTGCAGCTGTTGCGCCCCATCAGTGCGCCGCCCCGCTGCTGGGTCCCAGGTGGCCTGGACTTTTGTCCCGAGCTAAATTGAAGTTAAATGTGGCTCGTGTGGGCGCTTAATGCCGTGCCTTGGGGGCATACTGTTTGTAACCCTTGGCTGCGAATCTGCAGTGGAGTGTGTGTGTGTGTGTGTGTGTGTGTGTGTGTGTGTGTGTGACAGAGACAGAAAGACATTGAGACAGACAGACTGAGAGAAAGAGAGAAAGAAACAAACGGAAGACAGGAAGGCTGGCTGGAGGAGTTGGTAGGAGGAAAAGGGTTCCTGCAGGAGATAAGAGTGCTTGGCCAGCTGAGCTTGACACACCTGTCCAGGTGTGCTTGGGGGTGGGGTGGGGGTACCTTCCTCCTTATGAATTGCCAGTGTGTATCTGGTGCACGCTTGTAAGTGTGTGTTGAATGAGAGCGAATGGGAGGAGAGCAGGATGCCTTATCATTCTTTCTCAAATGTGAACCTTGGTTTTGTTTCTTTCAAAGAACAGTCCCTAAATTAGATCATTACATATTTGGAGCAACTACCTATCAGAAGAATTAATCAAGGCCCCATGGTCAATGTGCAGTGGCAGTTGTGATCACAGATCAAGAGGAGAAATCTCCATCGAGATCAGGTAAAAAGTGACTAAGGATTGAGGAGATGGTTTGCAAACATACGACCAAGATGGGGATTGAGGAGATGGTTTCATAAGAGGAGCTGAGGACCTTCTGGAGCCCAGCTTTCTTGGACTGGCATTTCTTTGTTTACCTTTTCTGGGACACTGGTATTAGTTAAAAATCCTAATTCATATGCTGCCAGGACAATCAATGCTATTGCTACTTTGTTCCTAATAAAATTAAGGACTTCATTTCCCCCTTGTTTCCTTTTTTTTAGTTCTACAATAAAATGCTTTTTAGGCAGAGAATTGACCTTTTCTCCAGCAGAGCATCTGTGAGGCCACTGTTTTGTCTACCCCACCACTCTCCATTCTCCTGGAAGCCTCACCTACTCTCCCTTCAGGGAACTGCTCTCTTCTCCCTGCCCCACCATGTGTGAGAATTAGGAGTGGACACCCATGTAACATGGACACCATGGAGTGTGCACTTGGCTCACTCAGGCCCAGTTATCCACTGTGAAAACTGTCAGGAAAGCCTCCAAGGGAAGGACTGCTCCTCTCCAGAAGGGAAGCAGGGCAACTATAAGTTGCCAAGCCCTTTGCCTTTTCAAAGAAGCTATTGTACGATAAAAAGAGAGCAGACATGGAGAAGACTAACACTATGGGCCTTATTCATTCCTGAGACCAATGGTGTTCTAATCTTCACTGAGATTTGCTTGTGCTCATGAATTCTGATTTTAACCTAAACTAGTACAGTTTGTCTTCTATATTTGCAACCAAAAGAATCCTTTCAACTTTAATTCAAAAATGATTTATATCTAATTCTGGTTTGTGTTTGACAGGTCGTATGTTTGCAAGCCCTAAGATGAGAAGCAGACAAACTTTCTGGCCAATGACAAACTTTAACATGAATGTTGAGGGCACAGACTATCTTCAGTTCACATCTCCATGCCAGTAATGTGTGTTTGACTTTTTCCTGCAAGCACCTGCTCTCTTTGCATGGGCATAGGACATGCTTAGCCCACATATGTCCAAGACAGACAAGGAGTGAATTGCCAAAGGAGCAGTCAATGGAAGAAAGTTGATAGATAAACCTTCAAGCTCTTTCTCCCTGAGCCAAGATCACTCTAAAGTGGACTCAAGTCAGTCTCCTAACTGTTGAGGTCCACCTGCCCACAACCAGTAACTGCTTATTAGTGTGTGTGGGGGGGGGGGGCTTCTGTATACTCAGTCACAAAACCAAATGAGACAGGCTGGTAGGAAATTCTGCAACTGCTAGAATCCAAAGTATCACGGTTAAGAACCAGATGTACCTCTATTACTGAGGTCAAGTTTTTTAGCTTCTCTGGGCCTCCAAACCGTGTCTTCCACATTGGTTTTTCTTTTCCTTTTTTTTCAAAATTGTCATAATGATGGCTCCTACATCATAAAGTTATTTGGAGGATTGGTTAAGATTTTAAAGTCTGAGGATGGAACTAAAAGGGCAGAGAGACCCTGTTGGGATACACAATGGTTTTGTGCCTGATAGAGTCCATCTCCATCATTTTATGCAAGGTGTAACCAAAAGCTACAAGCCTTAAATTTTAAAAATGTGTTACATTAAACTATACATTGCCCTTATTCCCCCTCAAAACAGTCCCATTGACTTCTAACAAGCTCATCCCATCACTCCTGCCACTTTCTAAAGCAGTTCTAGAAGGCTTGTTTTGTGCCTTTATGAGATGTGATCAAAACAATCAATGCTGCTGCTGCTGCTGCTGAGTGCTTTCTAATGGAAAAACAAGTCTGTAAAAACATTCTGGTGCATCCTTGTCCACCTTATTTACCAGCTTTGGCACTGTATGACTTCTGACTCTTCCCAGAGTCAAAATGACCCTGAAAGGTAAACATTTTTAATTGATTCAGGACATTGCGACAGCCATAGCAGCACAACTAAAGATGCTCATGAAAAGAGGACTTCCAGAGCTGCTTCAGAAAGTGGAAAGAATGACGGGATAAGTGTGTTTAAATTAAGGGGCAGTGTTCTGAGGGAGATTAATGGTAGCGTGTCTTTTACTATAATGCATCTTTTAAAAAATTTAAACACTTTCCATACTATTTTTTATCACACTATGTATGTAAACTCTTTCCTTTCTTGGTTACAAAGAGAAACACAGCAGTTCTTTAGCTTCAGAGTAAGTTAAAACAAAATTTCAGAATAACTTAAAAGAGTATAGCTAGGCCTCCCCAGACACAAGAGTATTTAAGCACAAGAGTGGCTTAAAACTTCGGAGGTAGAGTTCTACCCCTGGCCGCCCTGTACTCACCCATGTCTTCTAGTTTCTCTGTGTCCTTCTGTCATCAAACACTGTGTGATTTATTACTGTTATTTGACCAACAAGCAAGAACTAACCATAACCAAGGTTTCTCAGACTTCACAGAAACCTGCTACTCTTAGCCACTATGGTTCCCACCCTTTAAAATTTAACATAAACCAAACACAAAGTGGACCTCCGTTTCTGTATTTTTTTTTTTTTTGGTCTTTTTCTGACACAGGATCTTGCACTATGCAGTTCACACCAGCCTTGAGCTCACTTTGTAGCCCAGGCTGGTCTCAAACTCGCAAGGATCCTCGTGCCTCAGCCTCCTGAGTGCTGGGATTACAGGCGTGATCCACCACGCCAGGCTTGTTTCTGTCTTCTTAAAATGTAAAGATCACACCAAATCTTTTCAGTCCTTCAAGCTTTAGCAATCTAAAGGTTATATTTAGAATATGAGTTGATATGTAAGAGTTTGGCCCCACCTCAGGCTGACTATGTCCTATCAAAGTGCAGGAGGTGCAGCTTGTGACAAGGTCTGCTGAGGGCTCGGAGGCCACTTCAGCTCACACTGATCCAGGCATGAAGAATTTCTCCTGGTGAGCTCTCATATTTACATAAATCTAAAAGCACAGGAAGCACAGAACATTCTTAAAGAGGTGTACACTGTCACCAAGATCTCACAAAGCGGCCTCTGTTGAAATGTTATCTCTGGCTAAGAACCGGAGCTGGAACTCTTTTTTTTTTTTTTATTTTATTTAA